GTATGGCCGACTTGTCAGGGTCTTGTTGGTGCAGCGGCTGACTTCGGGCAGCCGACTGGTTGGCGCAGTCCGTAGCCGGCAGCCGGCCGGTCGATCGGCCGGGTGGAGTAGTTGGACGGGGAGCCGACAGGAGTAGCCGGGCAGTCGGACTGAGGGGTTTTGCTAGCCCCGATGTCTTGAATTATTGTCTCGCCGTCTTCGGGTACCCGTGGTCAATTACCCCGACAAGTATGAATAATAAACATTTATCATGATATAAGGAAATATAAATAACAACTTTATTATTGCCTCTAGGGCATATTTCCTTCAGGGAGACTATCATTTGAAGCACAAAAGCAAGGAGTTCATCATAAACACATAGTCTATTACCTTTTGGAGAGCGGTGTATCCTAGATTGGGTAGGTGTCGCTTGGGAGCCTCCAACATGATGTGGAATTGAACCAATAAGATTGTAAGGGCAAGGAGATCGCGTAATTCGTGAAGATCTACCCGAGTGAGGCAAGTCCTTCGTGGATGATGGTCATGATGGGATAGACAAGGTTGCTTCTTCATGGACCCTTCGTGGGTGGAGCTCTATGTGGACTCGCGCGGCCGTTACCCTTTGTGGATTGAAGTCTCCAATAACGTGGATGTAAGATAGCACCACCTATCGGAACCACGTCAAAAATTCTCCATGTCTCCATTGCATTTGCACTCTCCAATTCTCATCCTTTACATTCTTGCACTTGCATGCTTTACTCTTTCCTCTGCTCATACTCTTGCTATGCTTGTGTAAAATTTGTTATGTGCCTATTAACATGTGTTAAACTCAACCTTAACTTGAAGAAAATAAAAACCGCCACTTTTACTTGCTTAAGGGTCTAATCATCCCTCCTCTAGACCCCTCTTCTCGATCCTTTCAATTGGTATCAGAGTTTTGGTCTCCATTACTTTGGTTTAATCACGATTGGAAAAAGATGGATGAGTCTATGTTCGGGAGTAGACATAGAGTGCCTATTCTTGACGGTGAGTTTTATGGTTCTTGGAAAATGAAATACTTGAGATATTAAATGAATATAATTTGAGCAAGTATATTATTAGCCCTTATGTGCCTCCCATTGATCCTTTGCATCCTATCCCCATGAGTACCTTGACATCGTTCACAAATTAGAACGGTTAATCTTATCATTAGAGGTTTGCCTAAAAATGTGCTTGTTTACTTGCAAAATTTTGAATGCACATACACTATATGGAATTAACTTGAGGAACGCTTTCCAAATTACTCTTTGAAAAATCTCAATGAAATTCTTCAAAAGTCCATTGATTTTCATAAGATGAGGCCTAGTGATCCTAAGTTTGATGAATGTCTATTTGAACTCTGTGATCTTATGTCTATTTGAGCAACTAATCAAACATCGCTCGTTGGGAGCCTCCCAAAGGGTCACTTGAGGTGGGCTGAGAGTGCGCTACTTGGTGTGCTCTCAGCCATCGTCACTTGTCGCGCTCTGGACGCTCCCTCCAAATTTTGTTTTTATTATTTTTCCACATGCGTTTTTGACTTTTTAGATGTTTTTCCTCGTGTTTTTTCGACTTTTCGATTTTCCACATGTCTTTCTTAGCTTTTGGACAAAAAAATAAAACACGAAAAAATGTGTTTTTTCTTCCGCGGTAGGCATGGATTTGCTTCCGCGAGAGGCACGTGTTTGCTTCTACGAGAAGCACGGTCGTGCCTATCAGAAACGGAAAACAACAAACACGTTTTTCTTCCTTCCGCGAGAGGCACGGTCGTGCCTCTCGAAAATGTAAAAAAAAAGAGTTTTTTTTCCTTATGTGAGAGACATAGATTCGTTTCCGCGAGAGACGCGAATTCGCTTTCGTGAGAGCCACGGCCGGACCTCTCTGAAATAAAAAAAAAAGTTACCTTTTTCTTTTTGCGTTCCGTGAGAGGCATGGGTTTTGCTTCCGCCAGAGGCACAGTCATGCCTCTTTCGGAATGGGAAAAAACATGTGCTCCCAGTTAGGTTTCTTCATCCGGTTTTCTTGGCTGGTTTTTCCGTGAAAAAAGGGTTCGTCAAACCTATGAACATGGGATCTAGTTTTCAAGATCTCGACGCGAGGAGTCCAATGATGAAAATTGTTCGAGATTTGGACGCATGGTTTAAAAGATGAAACATTTTGAGTAAACGGATCTACGAAAAAAGGTTGCAACAAGTGGCACACATGCAGTTATTTAATTTTTAAAAATTCTTGGATTGGAAAAAAAATGTTCTTGAATTCAAGAGGGATGAAAAAAAATCGATGAACATTTTTTATTTTGAAGAACAATTTTTATGAGCATTTTTCAATAATGATGAACATTTTTCGTATTCGATGAACACATTTTGAATTTTATGAAGAATTTTTGAACTTAGTGAACAAAATTTGTGATCTCGAACATTTTTTTGGAAAAAATGGATGAACAGTTTTTGAATTCGATGAACAAATTTTCAATTTGATGAACATTTTTTAAAATTGATGAACAAATTTTGTATTCGATGCCCATTTTTTTTAATTCGATGAACACATTTGAATTTGATAAACATTTTTTAAATCCAATGAACAAAAGTAAACTGAATGAACAAAAAATTGTTCACAGATTTGAAAAGAAAATTCGCAAAAAAGGCGTGAAAAAGAATTGACATAAAAGAGAAAAGGAAAAAGCAAACGGAAAAAGAAAAGTAAAGTAAAAACAAAAAATGAAGAAAAACTGAAAGAAAAAATAGGATAATGGGCCAGCCCATAGTACACCCACGCGTCAGGGGGAACGCGCTACATCAATGATGATGATGCGGTTTCACGTTATGAAATGAAACTAGGAGGCGCGCCCTTTTTCCCTAGACAAAAAAACAAATACGAACGGAACTACAAGCTACTGAATTCTCATGAAAAAAGGAACAAAAGCCCTGCACATATACACACTTCCACGGCAAAACAAAATTCTGCAGTGTAACAAAACAACCCATTCATACGTTATATTTCACGTCACAAATTTCTAGGTAGAAGTTAACAATTCGATGAAGATGCACAACACTCCGGTATGACCACGTAAACATATTTATGTGGCGCAGCATTTCTGTAAGAATAGTAGACTGGATATATAAACTGTAGAGCTACACTCCCAGCTGAATTACGATGTCACATGCTGATCTAATAATTAAGATGAAACACGAGCACATGACTGATATTAAACTTAACCATCTCAGTTAAAGTATCATTGATTTAGCATTAAACAGGTCTCATAACTGAAAATGAGTAAATTCAGATTACATTGAAGCTATTTCCACAAAATAGAGCAGATACATCTCCATTCCAATGTTGAAACTCATACCGCCAAACGGAGAACATGTACCAATCAGCTGCTGCAACTCCATTTCAATGCTCCATATTAAGTACTCCCACCATTCCATAATAAGTGTCGCAGTTTTGAACTAAGGTTGAACCAACTTTAGTTCAAAACTGCGACACTTATTTTGGATCGGAGGGAGTAACTTCTAATCAAAGTTACATGTAGCACCTGACCTGAAATTCAAAGAACTAGATTAGTTTCCTTCCAAAGCGCACATGGTGATTCGTTTATAGGGTATGCCTCAAACTGTAGAAACTACTATGTATTGCTACATATATAAACTATAAAATCCATGCCACCACAAACTATAACAGTCTTTTTTTAGCAAAAACAGTAGTGAAGACCCCTACTGTAACTCTTTTTTCATTATATGATGGACCATTTGCAAACTATAACAGTCATTGGTCACCTTGAAGTCACTACTACTAGTACACAGAAATGAGCAAGCATGCTTGATAATTTGATCATGATTCATGCATTCCAAAGAATTCGAATACTCAGAGCATTATGTAAATTTGTTCAGTTAAAGAACAATGATGGAATTTAAGTTTGTCATTTCAATTGAGATAACTGAACAAAATGTCCTGAAATTAAGCATACAGATCATGGGTGCAACTTATGACCTGATGCTAAGCCTTATTGTGTTTCTAAAAACCAACTGAACAGCAATGCATTAGCTGCTAACTACAGTCTACACACCATAAAGCGAAGTCTCAAATGACAGGAAATACTAGTAAACAAGCAAGAAAAATCAGTTATTTGTAACATGGAACCATTTCAAGAAGTAATCAGTTTTTATTTAGCACACTTGTACTAGTAAGTCTGACTCATGATATGTTTGCAATATCTGAGAAAAAATAATCATCATTAAATAAACAACTGAGTAGTTCCTTCTTAAACTTTTGATCAACATATCAATTGCCCAATAAACAAGATGGACTAGCACTTGATCAAATAATCTGGGCAAACTAGACATAATGAATCAACAGCTTCTGGAAACAGATCAACTACTTCTTCTACACATGATCATGAGTTCTAGGAAAATAATCTGGAAAACAGGGGATTTTTTTACAGTGAAAAACAGGGGCACATTCATTTAAGGAAGCAAGTCACAATAAAGCAACAAAGGTTACAAGATTCTGAGTTCTAGGGAAAATAATCTGGGAAACTAGTTGGTGCCAAGTCAGCTGGAGTCCCCACTACCCAGTAACAAAAGGCGCATTATACTTTTACACATGATCATGAGTTCTAGAAAAATAATCTGGAAAACAGCGGATTTTTCACAGTGAAAAACAGGGGCAGATTCATTTAAGGAAGCAAGTCACAAATAAAGCAACAAAGGTTACAAGATTGTGAGTTCTAGGGAAAATAATCTGGGAAACTAGTTGGTGCCAAGTAAGCTGGAGCCATCAGTAACAAAAGGCACATTATACAAATGTTTATAATACTAACAAAATACAAATCCATGAAACTCTATAAACTCTATGAATTTTATGAACTTGGACAGTAAATCTAACTGATCCGAGTGGCTTGGTGAGCAATTTGCACTGGTAATAATAGCTAGATCGATCAAAGTAGAAGCAAGAGAGATAAATCTAACAAAAGGATCAAATAGGAGATTACCTACTCCATGCTATCAAGCATCTTGAACTTCCTTATCATCATATGTGGCAAGCAGTGGTGACAACCTCAAGAAGAATGGAAAAGCAGCACCCCTGTAGCGCTTAGCCGTAATGTTGCGAAAGAATTGTTGCAGCTTGACGGTGTTCAGATTGAGCACAAGAATATAGGATTCAGACTTCCTTATGGACCAAAACTCCATGTAGACATAGCCAGCCTTCATTGCGAGGATGTGCAGCCTCTTCATCCATTCGTCACGACGAATTCTCTTTAAGTACCCAAACTGATTCAGCAAGGAGACCTCCTTCTTGACCACCCATCCACCATTGATATCACGGACCCAGAGCAGCACGCTTTGCTCCCTGCTGGACACGATGCACAGCCCGCCGTGCTCCGCCATGTCCGCCACGCAGTACGACTCGCCAACCGGGAACGGCGCGGTTATAATCGACCACACCATGGTTTTCGTATCAAGCACATATATCTTCTCTTCATCCTCATGCCAGTTCTTCTTGGTGTTCGACCGCCAGTACGCGAACCGCCCCGCGGCCATACCGTCGCTGCGAGGCCACGCGAAACCCCAGTATGGGAACGACGAGTCAAGCACGACCCATTTGCCGGTGCGGGAGGAGAAGACGGCAAAGGTTTCTTCGACCCAGAGATCTATGCCGATGACCTGGAAGGAGGCGTCGGCCTCGTCGGCGAAGATGGCGTACCGGCCGGTGTGCCAGCGCTCGGGTGGCTGGAAGAAGATGGCAGTACACTCGAGAGGGTCGTAGACGGCGAGCTTCGACGCATAGCGGCCGCAGGAGAGGAGGAGGAGGCCACCGTCGCAGCCACGGAGGCGCCACTCGTCGGCAGCTTTAATCTCGGGGTGGCGTTGGAAGTAGAAATCGCCGAATGCTGCGGCGAGGTCCTGCTCGGGGTGACGCGAGTGTGCCGCGATGAAGCGGAGAGCAGGGTTGTGGAGGGGGAAGCGCTCGCGGCCAAGGTCGGTGAGGATGACGCCGACGAGCGGGGGCCTGCGGAGGGAGCTGAAGCGGCGGAAGACGGCGGGGTCGGAAGCGATGCGGCCCCAGCGCTTGCAGACGAGGGCGGCGCTGGCGAGTGACGCCATGTCGGGGAGGCGACGGAGTATTTCCCCGAGGAGCTCGGCGCCGGTGTAGGCCCCGGGCGGCGCCGGCGGGGTCCTGGGCTTCTTGATGCTGGCGCCCTCGCTTCTCTGCGACGGCTCCATCTCTTCCTCCCTCGCCTCCTGGATTGGGGATCGATGGTCTCGCTCCGCTCTCTGTTAGAAGGGGATTTCTTGCGAATTTTGGCGCCCATGTCATAGCAAGGCTCGCGCCAAAATCGTTTCCGTTAGCGCGAAAAGAATACCCGCGCCAATTTTTCGCGCCAAAAATTATACCCACATGCTTTTGGTCCTCCTGCTCTGCTCTGAGTGAGCTCGCGTGCAACCATCCTCTCTCCGTTTCTTTTTACCCTTCGTACAAAATTTATTTGAAATCAAACTACACAAAGTTTGACCAAAATTATCTTGAAAAATATCAATATCTATAATATTAAAGTTCTATAGTATGAAAATCAATTTCATGAAGCATCTAATAATATTCGTATTATGAATGTTGATATTACTTTTTGTAAAATTGATCAAAATTTACGATTTTGGTGGAGAAAAATTTATATGCCAATTGAAAAGAAACGGATGGAGTACTAGACCCCTTAAAAGCCAGCGAAATAATGATAATTAAGGGACCAACTATACACACCTAAGTCAAATTTTCGGGTTATTAGATTAAGATGCAGGTAGTCCTTAAACTCCTTATTTCTTCTTCCTCTAGACTTTTTTTTAATCCAGACATTCCTATTTCCACAAAATCAACATGTATAAATTACAAATTCCGTCAAATTACATATAGCTATTGAGATAAATTACATAGAACCATCGTAACCAGCGAACGTTCGTTGGAAGGCATGGCAAATGCGAACGGTTTTATGGCAATTTGTGTTGTCCACGGATGGCAAATTTCTTTAGCGAGTCAATTACGCTGGTGGTGCTAGAACTTGACGCAAATGATCACTTTAGTGATAGAAACTGCGGCAAACATTAAAGTGTTGCAAAATTTTGGCTCTATTGTGCAAACACAGTGCTAATCACGGTTAGATACGAAATCGGCACTGACTAGGCGCACCAGTGTGGCCTGGGGCCCGCTGTCAACGAGAGACGGGGCGTGTGGCCTGTTTTTTTATTAAAGAAACTTGATCAAAATTCTCAAAAAAGCCCCTGTTTTTTTAAAACCCCTCAATATTTTCTCTCTCACAAAAATAACCCCTATTTTTTTGGAAAACCCCTCATCATTTTCTCTCACAAAAGACTCCTGGCCCACCTACCAGCGACCTTAAAAATTATAAGGGAGACCTATACATTGTCTGTACGGGGACTAGAACCACAGACCCACGGACCGCACGAGCGGGTGTATAGCCAGCCAAGCCATCGCATCTGTGGTTAACTGAGGATAGGAAATTTATATATCTTTGGAGTGAATAATCAAAATGAAAAAGGACAAGCGAGGGTATCGAACAGGAGACATCATGCGAGGTTGCACCTCTGCCTACCACTCCAACAAAGAAGATATCATGTGTAAAGAGTCAAACTATTTGTATCCAAACTGTAATCATATGTTAAAAACAGTATACATAAAAATAAACAAATAAAATTTAAAAATTGATAGTATAGTTTCATTAAATATTCAATTATTAATTTTAGTTATAGCCATATCATTAATTATGATATAAAATAATTGTCTAAAGTCAGTGCGGCCCATTTTCCGCAAGTTAGACTTTTTTAGAAATTTTAAAATTAATAATCACAGTAAAAACAACCAAGTTGGGATATTTCATGTTATAAATAATACATACAAATAAATTAAGTTAGAGAAATGTCCTTATTTTTTTAAAATCGCTTATCATTATAAAACATCTTCATATAATGAAAAAAGTGTACATAACTTAAAATAATATTCATTTGAAGATCTGCAGTCTAGGGGCACACTATGCTCACTTATATTTTTCATACATATTTATATTTTATATCTAATTTAATTTATAATTTCTTTTAGACAATACATAAATTTATTACATCATCTTCTTAAAGTAACCTATTTTCTATAAAATCATGAGTATTTTATTAATCATGAACATTTTGAAACTTTTATCATCATTTATTTAAATATATAATAGCTTTTTAAATTACTTGTACATATTTTATATATAATTATTTTTAATTATTTATAACATATGACTACAGTTTGCAAACAGAAAGTTTAATTATCCTATTTATACATTATATCTTCTTCTTTGTAGTGGCATGCAGAGGTGCAAGTTCGTATGAGGTCTCCGGCTCAATTCCCTCGGCTATATTTTTTCATTTTGATTAAAACTATTATTCCCTACAAAGGATATAGAGATTTCCTATCCATATTCAACCACAAATGGCGATGGCTGGGGTGGCTACACACCTGTTTCTGTAGTCTGCAGGTATGTGGTTTGAGTCCCGAGGTCCCTGGCAGGTGGGCCAGAGCTCTTTTATGAGAGGGAAAATATCGTGGGTTTTTACGAATAAAACAAGGGCTTTTTGTGAGAGAGAAAATATTGACGGGACTTGTCGTAAAAAAGGGGATTTTGTGATGGAGAAATTGTCAAGCTGGGTTTTCACAAAAGAACGGGCGACTCCCCTGAAGGAAATATGCCCTAGAGGCAATAATAAAGTTGTTATTTTATATTTCCTCATATCATGATAAATGTTTATTATTCATGCTAGAATTGTATTAACCGGAAACTTGATACATGTGTGAATGCATAGACAAAACACCATGTCCCTAGTAAGCCTCTACTAGACTAGCTCGTTAATCAAAGATGGTTAACTTTCCTAACCATAGACATGTGTTGTCATTTGATGAATGGGATCACATCATTAGGAGAATGATGTGATGGACAAGACCCATCCGTTAGCTTATCATGTTGATGGTTCAGTTTTATTGCTATTGCTTTCTTCATGTCAAATACATATTCCTTTAACTATGTGATTATGCAACTCCCGGATACCGGAGGAATACCTTATGTGCTATCAAACGTCACAACACAACTGGGTGATTATAAAGATGTTCTACAGGTATCTCCGAAGGTGTTTTTTGGGTTGGCATAGATCAAGATTAGAATTTGTCACTCCGAGAATTAGAGAGGTATCCCTGGGCCCTCTCGGTAATGCACATCATAATAAGCCTTGCAAGCAATGTGATTAATGAGTTAGTTGCGGGATGATGTATTATGGAACAAGTAAAGAGACTTGCCGGTAACGAGATTGAACTAGTTATATAGATACCAATGATCGAATCTCCGGCAAGTAACATACCGATGACAAAGGGAATAATGTATGTTGTCATTACGGTACGACTGATAAAGATCTTCGTAGAATATGTGGGAACCAGTATGAGCAACCAGGATTCGCTGTTGGTTATTGACCGGAGAGGTGTCTCGGTCATGTCTACATAGTTCTCGAACCCGTAGGGTCCGCACGCTTAACGTTTGATGACGATTTTGTATTATATGAGTTATGTGATTTGGTGACCGAATGTTGTTCGGAGTCCTGGATGAGATCACGGACATGACGAGGAGTCTCGAAATGGTTAAGAGGTGAAGATTCATATATTGGACGATGATATTCGGACACCAGAAGTGTTCCGGGGGTACCGGGTACATATCGGGTCACCGGAAGGGGTTCCGGGCATCCCCCCCGGCAACTACATGGTCCTAATGGGCCAATAAGGGGACAGACCATCCCCTGGGGGGCTGGTGCGCCCCATGTAGGCCGAAATAGGAGGGAAGGAAAGAGAGGAAGAGAGAAAGGAAGGGGAGCAATTCGACGTCCCCTTCCTTCTCTCCTCCCTCCTCCTTCCTTCCCCCTCCGGATGAATATGGAAGGGGGGGGGGCGAATTGGGAGGCGCCCAAGTA